TGCCCACCATTATTTGAATAATGCAATTTGTGGTTAATTATTTGTTCGGGTGCAACCTGATACATACATTACATGACATTACATTACATGACGTTACCTTGTGGTGCATTACGTTACGTTATGGTTCATTACGTTACATCACATACGTACATTACATCAGACATGCATACATACAGTACATACCTACACGCCTACCTACAAACATTACATTACATTACATTACCTAACATTAGATAACCTAACATAACATAATATACCACACATTACATTGCATTGCATTACATTACAATAAATTACGTAAAACATAACATTACATTATTTCATACATAAGTTGCATACATACATACATTTTGTATTGCATGGCATTACATTACATGTCATTACACTACATCACATTACATTACACTCAATTACGCACATACATGCATATATGTATTTTGCACATGTACATTCCTTCACGGATTGTAAAGATTGCACAGGTCATATACATTGCACACCTTACATACACAATATTACATAGATAGATGATCTGATGCACACATGCAAAGCACATGCACGCAGTACCTTGGAACATGTGCACCTCGCGCACCGGGCGTCTTGCCTGGAGCTGGTGGAGCAGCATGGCGAGCAACTCGGTCTTAAGCTGTCCTTAAGGTTGCGATGGCACGAGACCCACCTTTGCCCATGCCATGCTGTGGATGGACGAAATCCATTTCGCACCACCTAAGAAACCACGGGAAGCCATTGCTGGTTGGTATTTCCAGGCGAATCATCATTACGGGGTGTCTTTGGCGGTGCAGGATTTCGTCCATCCACAGTGTCAACCGGGCCTTTGTTGGCCATGGCTGTTAAGGATGCAAACCAGGCATTCAGCCTGCCAGCCAGTGTTGATGGAACTGGCACATGTGGAAAGCATCGCGCCTCTTCCTCGTACCCGGCAGCCCACCGTAGTGAGCAAAGCGGGTGTCCTTTCTCAGAATGATTGCTGGTCTCTCTCTCTCGCTCTCTCTTTGTTTTCTCCCACTCTCACTCAAGTTGCCAATGCATACATTGTTGACACAAGCTATGCTTGATAAACAAGATGTCCCCACACCCTATTCCAGCGCTGACTGCCCTTTTGCACGCCATCCTACACGTACAACGGATCAACCAACATTGCACAAACAAGGAAACCATCAACAAAACAAAGAAACAAACGAACGATGGGACAAACAGACAGACGGACAGACAGACAGGCAGGCAGGCAGACAAACAAGCAAGCAAACAAGCAAGACAAAGCAACTTGCCAACCGACACACAACCAGACAGGCAGACAGGCAAACAACCAAACAAATCCAACAAACCGAACAAACAAAAAACACAAAAAACAAACCAAACAACAAGCCAGCCAGCTAGCCAGCCAGCCAACAGCCAGCCAGATAGCTAGCCAGCCAACCAACCAACCAACCAACCGAACCAACCAACCAACAAAGACTGGGATGCGCGGACAAGCAAACAAACGAAACAAAACAAATAAAAAAACAAGCAAACAAACAAAGTACAAAAAGAGGAAACACAAAGAAAAAAAGAAACACGGCAAAATGAAACAAACAAACACAGATAAAATCAAAGAAAGAAAGAAAGAAAGAAAGAAAGAAAGAACGAAAGAAGCAAACAAACAGACAAAGAGGCAAAGAGACAAACAAACAAGAACGAAACAAAGAAAGAACATAAAATCAAAAGAAAAGCAAAGACAATAAAAGAAAAGAAAAGAAACAAAGCGAATTCAAAAGGAAGCCAACAACAAAGAATCAAGGGAAGCGAATCCCGGAGAGACAGACAGACAGACAGACAGACAGACAGACAGACAGACAGACAGACAGACAGACAGACAGACAGACAGACAGACAGACAGACAAACGGACAGACGGACGGACGGACGGACGGACAGACGGACAGACGGACAAACGGACAGACGGACAGACAGACAGACGGACGGACAGAGAAAGAGAGAGAGAGAGGTGGACACGCAAACAGGCAAACACAGAAGCAGAGACACAGAGACAACGAGACACACAGACACACAAATAAACAAAGAGACAACACGTACAACTTGCCAAACAAAATCAGCAAAAGCACAAGGACGCAAAGAGAACCTACACTCCCCAGCCCACCCACATTCACCTGGGTGCGGTAACCTTATTTGCCCAAGGCGGCACCTGGAAGACGTCATTGTACTCTCCGCCAAGCTCCTCCGCTTTGACAAAGGCAACAGGCAGCAAGAGAAGACAGAGTTCAGAAGAAGAGGATTTACCGTTCAACTGTTGAGCATAACCAACCATAATCATGCTTACCATGAGCCTTCTTGATTTCGTCGTGGAGCTTGCTTCTCATGTCGCATAGGCGCAGCCGGCAAGTCCACTCAGAAACCTAAAAGATCCAGGACTGAATGCAGTCAAAGCAATGTCACAATTCGTAGGCGGGAAATGCGTGAGGTAAGCCAATCAAGGTTGAATGAGGAACCGCGCAGCATGGCCATCGTCAGTCGTCATCAGGCATGGCGCGTTTCCTGCTGGAGTTCGCAAAAAGCTGGCCAAGGTGCTCGAGGGTCAGCAGGAAACGCCCATGTCAGAGAGCACTCAATAGTGTACCTCCGCAATTACTCAAGCAGCTCGAACATGCCTCGATCAATGCAAAGAGTTATTCTGCTGAAACTGCCCAAACGGCTCAAACATGCCTTGATCGATTAAAGCATGCTCAACCTGCGCAACTTTGCCGACGCACGCAATGCACGGTAAGCTACCAGCATATCGCTGGCATCATCGGAAGCCCCGGCAGAACGCCTCATTGCAGCCCTTTTCGACTTACACGTGCACAAAACAAATGGTCAAACATGTGCTGGCAGGTGTTTCAATTACGGATGTTGACACGCGACTTTTTCCGACTTTTCCAGGATAGGGGTTGTCCAACCACGCGTGAGGAACCCGGGTGTCATGTATCGCCTACAGTGCCTCAGGCCTTTAGTCCTTCGCTAAACGCTAGTTCACGCATGTGGACGGCCTCTCTTGGTGGTGGTCAGTTGGGCCAGAAAGACACTCGAGGCAACGTCACCGTGATCCATTGTTGTTCAAGTGGGCCGCCGAAGAGGTCCCCAACCAAGTGTCACAAGTGTCACAAGTGTCAAACATGGCAAGAGGGGCTCAGGCAGGCACAACGCGTTCCCCTCATCGCACACATGCATCTCCAGCTGCGGCTGCGGGGGCCCGCGGAAGTAGCCATACCTCCACCTGGCTGGCTGCCATCTCAGGCCATGGGACCATGCGACCGTAACGACTCTGCCAAAAGCGTCTAACTGCTTGTGGGTTTTATGGGAACACGGGAAAACCCATTGAATCCAATCAATGGATGTTGAAGTCTAAAGATCCGATACCCCATAGCAATCAGGGCACCTGCGGAATTGTGGCTGCGAATTCTTTTGGAACCGAATGCGCATCGGTTTGGTAGTATTGGTCTGGGGTACTTGGGAAACTTTTCTTCGCTTTACGATGAAATCCCCAGGCCCGTTTCAAGGGTACCCAAAGAGGGTTATGCTGGAGCAGGCCTTGAAAAACACAAACACGCAGCAAAACCGATCGGCGCGGGTCGCTCTTTTTTTGAGGCTACGCCTCGTTTGATCGGCTTTGAAAAAGGAAAGCCAGTATTTGGTAGGCCCCCACAACCAAAAAAAAGAGAGAGAGAGAAGCCACACCCGCGAAGGCTAGCGGAGAACACAACGCACGAACCGAGCTTTCGCCGTTTCCGCCTCCAAGAAAGAAAAAACAGTGGACGGAGTTCAACGCAGGGCCCCAAACCAAGAAAGGCTGCACGCGTTTGCCTCTTTTGCGGCACATCCCACACCGGTCCCTATACGTCTTAGCGGTCATGCACCAAACATGCCAACTTGTGCAATTAATCTACGCCAGAGCTGCAAAAACCGACGAGGATCTTCCTCTTCTGGCAGTTTGTGACACTCCTTACTCTCCCAAGAAGCGGCCATGAACGTGTGCAACGCGGCAAGGCTGACTGGCACCTCAGTCAACCAAGCTCCATGCTGCATGCAAGTGTCAATCGCGCTCTTCGTGGACTCGGACACCCCCGAAGCTCTACTCGACTGCCTCGACGCCCTCGGCTTACTTGCCTTGCGCTTCTCGACGTGAGTGGCTTCTGCCGTCTCATCAGGGCTTCTCTTGTCTGGCTTGTCCGGCTTGTCCGGCTTGTCCGGCTTGTCCGGCTTGTCCGGTTTGTCCGGCTTGTCCGGCTTGGCCGCCTCCGTCTTGTCTGGGCCTGAGGTGAGGCTTGGCCTCCTTGCGCTCACGGCTTGCGCCGGCTCCTGTGACTGCGTTGACGGCCTCCTGTTGCTGATGGCTTGCGCCGGCTCCTGAGACTCTGCCGATGCCTTGCTGGACCGCCGCTCCAGGTCTTTCGACTGTGTCGATGACTTGCTGTTTCTCCGGTTTTGTTGCCTCAGCCAACCGTGCAGAATTGAATGCAGGCTGCAACCCTTGAGGTCCACAAACAAGCCATGGCAGTTCTAAGCCTGTCGCTCTTCGAGCTTACGCTGCTTCAACTCTTCAAGGTGCTGCGCTGCAAGTTCACGCGCACGCTGCCACCTTATCTCACTAGAACCTCATGCTTGGCAAGACTCGTCAGCCCTACGCCTGCTTTGGCACTCTGAGGGTGCGACTTCGCCTTTGTTGCATTGTGGGCAGCTCGGGCTGCTTCGAATTTTGTCATGGCGCACGTGAATGACTTGCGATCACAGACAGCTCTATAATTACGATGCGATTTCTGTGTCCCAGGATGGGGTCAAAGCCTGCACATAGTGCCTAAGAATGTGGGCCTCTCGTGGGCCTTCTTGAGCCACGCAAACACAATGCAGCCATTGCATGCCGCACAAACGAACCTTGAAACATGCATCTAGGAAAGGCGACCGGCCCTCCGATGCGACCCCCAAGCAAGCCAACAAGCGAAGCTGAGAATGCCTCCATTCGTTCGGAGCCAAGGCCGCCGCAGGAATCCTGGGAAATCGAGAGGGCCGGCCGCTTGACACGTGCTTCCCAAGGTGCTGACCGCAGCCAAGAGCACGGCCTGCGATGTCTCCCAGGCAAGGAAGCGCCTGGCGCATCCAAAGCCAGCCGCGAAGCCGAGCGCCCGCGGCGCCCGCGGCGCCCGCGCGCCTGGAAGGAAGCAACTGCAGCAGTTGCCGTGCATTTGTGCCGGCGCCCAGCCCCAGCAGCCCGATGCCTCAAGCTCACATTGTGTTGGCCGCGTTGGCCCGCTCGGCTTTTGAGCATCGCAAGGCACCTTTTCCACCAGGCGAGAGCGGCGCAGGTGGCCTAGTGAGGCCGCTCGCCTCGAATTGTCCAATGGGGCTGCTCGCCCGAGGCCGCCATGCAAGGCAGCGTGAAGAGCATCGTTTGCCAAATTGGGCTGGAGACACTGGCATCACTGGAGCTGCAAAGCTTAGCCCTAAAATTGGTGTGGCCGTAACCACTTACGACGTGTCCAAGCGAAGCATTTGGCCTTGACACCCTTGTGCTGGCAAATGCCTTGCCTTTTGCTCCAGCATAACTTGCTCAATATTTTAGAATTGAAACAGGTTCATGCGTAGCCGGCACGTCATCGCGAACAATGTGTGATTAAATGCTTGCTGTTGTGTTCAAGCTGTGCCGACGATTTGCTATCCGAGCCATAGGTTGGGATCGTCTTTTACTAACCTTCATCTAGCCAGGTTTTGATGGCTCAGCTGGGCTCTTTGAGTTGGCACCTTCTCATGTTGTGCTTCAGCATGGCGGTCCAAGGCAAAGGTAGCTTCGTTGCGAGGATGGAAAATACAAATTTTTGGAGACATTTCGCGGTTCTAAGTTGTTGCTGCCCACCAAAAAGTTGCATTTGGGCAAGTCATGCTGGCGTTGCTCTCCCTCCAACAATCATGGAAGCTGACACAAGGGCTTTGGAAACTACGTTTCTTTTGGAGAAGCCCCTCCTACCCCTTCAATGATTGTTAGAAAGAGGGTGTGAGCATTTCCGGGATGGGGGAAGCATTCAAACTAGTGCACGGCCCTTGGAGTTCCCCAGCTGGACACGCTCGTAACCTAGCTAAAGCTGCTTCTTGCAGCATTCAGCCTCTGCCTTCTCGCGAATGGACGTTGGATTGAACCTCCTCAGCTCCATGTCATGCTGTGAACGCACAACGTTTGCATCTGCAGCAGGCCCAATGGTACTGAGCAAACTGAGCCAACCAATCAAACTGCTTTGCCACACGAACCCACACACACACACACGCGCGCGCGCAAGCACAAGATTACTTGTCGAGTTCAGAATTTAGGCTGTCCAAGTAGCATTCTTGGTGTAAGGCCAGAAGGTGTGTGCACACGCTGTGGTGTCCGGGAGGATGGCCTGCCACTCTTGCCGTGAAACCCCTGGATGGTCACGGCAGCGTCAAACACAAGCGGCCAATTACATCCACACCTCAAACTTTCGTTTCCGCTCTGGAGCTTCGACACGTAGCCGCTGAATCCACATGCCTGCTATCGCGACTGAAGCTTCACCACTGAAAATCCACATCACCCCATGACTACTTGCCCTCCTACATACAACTTGCTGACTGACTCATTTGCTAAGGCTTGCTTCTCGTGCCCAAATCTGCCTTCGGCGGTGACGTTGCCGCCATACGGTCTCCTGAGGCGCGGGAAACTCTACAACATTGCCGCTGCGACAGTCCTAAGCAAGTGAAACAGCGGGACCCAAACCAGTGATCAACCTCTGTGGCCTCAATTCACTGCCTTGCAAGTGGCCACCTACTGAAGCGCAGTGTTGTGGCGTACATTGGCTTGTGGGGGTGAGCTTGGGGTTTCGAGTGTGGGCTGAACTTCGGCGTGGGGTTGGCTTGCGGCTGCTTTGGTTGAGCTGACTTAAGCAAACGGCTCTGTGCTTCGACGTGGCGCACGTGCAATGGCACATCCCCCAGCCAGCTTTGCTATGACAGGTCAGGGTGCTAATCTCGGTCATGAGATCCATCAGCTTGGATTGTGCCTGAAGCAGTCTCCAAGTGTCCAAGTTCCGAGCTCGCCCTCATCAAACAAAGCGAGACATATATATATATATATATACATATAGATATATATATATATATATATGTGTATATAGCATACCAAGTAAATTACAAATGTAGATATTAGTAATATTTTTATATATGTGTGTGTGTGTGATATGCACTAAAGGTATACCAGCCACATCCATGCTGAGCCCGCCTCGGCCCCCTCACTTGCTGCGCGCTGCTTCAACTCTGCTTGCAAGTCCCGCTGCTCACAGCGGCGCACCACCCTCGCGGTTCCCAGTGTCTGCTTCGTGGATACCCCCCCGCCTTCACATGGAACCTGACGTACAGGAAATGGCCCTTTGACAGGAAGATGAGCCAAACCAAGACCCCAAAAAAGTCAGGTTCCATGTTAATTGGTGGGAGGGTACACGATTCATGTTTTGGGGGGTTAAAGTGTTGCTCTCTTGCCGGCGTGCTGCGACACGGTTTTCGCTCCTCTTGCAAAGCCACGCTGCCAGCACAGAGCAATGCACACAAGCGCAAGTCACAGTCGTGGGTTTGTGTCGACCTGGGGGCGGGGCCAAAGGAAATGCTCTTCGCGCGGTCCCTCTTCCCCGCCACGGCCGACTGCAAACCACTCGCTCCGCATCAGCAATGCCTGCATCCCCACCTGCGTCGGTTCTTTTCTTGTTCGGTGCCCAGGCCCCCAGGCCCTCAAGCTGTCAAGCCCAACCGATAGGTCCATCCCTCGCTTCTGACCAAAACCGGCAGGCCCCAAGCGTTGCAGCGTGGCCCAAAATGGCGCCTGGGCAGCTGCCAGCAGCACAGCTCCCACAGGCGGGGGCGGCGGACCGCCAGGATCCCCTGGACGCTTTGACAACCGAGCACGGTCGTCGGGCGACCACCGAGTTGTTCATGGCCTGGGAAGCCCGCGAAGAGGGTCACGGCACCCACAAAGCAGCCAATCCTGGGCTGGACCCAGAAGCCCGGCTGGCTTCACAAGGCATGCAGCGGACATACTCAGAGCAACATCACATCTGCACAAACCACTGGCCAAAGCTCACCACCACGCGCCACAAGTTCCGCCAACAGCGGTTTCGTGAGCGAATCTTCTGCATCCCTAACCTCGGTGACAAGATATTGAAGCACCACAGTGGGGAGCTTAACCTCGCCAAGCAACAGGCAGTTGCAGCAATACTTTGCCCTTTCCTTGGCACGCACGACTGCACTGCGCTACGTCTGATCGGTGCTCGGGCTGTCCCCCCAGACAAGCTGGCCCTGATTTTCCAGCTCGCCATTTCCTATACAAAGGGTCTGCAGGGAATGCGTTGGAATGACCCCAATTTTGCCCTATGGTTCCTTTACTGGAATCCCTAGGATCATTCCCAAAACATGTCCCTACTGGAAGCAAGCAAGTTGTTGCCCCAAAGCCAAATCCGTGGCCATCCTGCCGGGCGTCTCGCTGGAACAACAGATCTGACTCAGCCTCCAGGCGGCCGTACTCATTGCTGTAAATGGCAATGATCATGTTCAGAATCCTTGGAACAAATCGGCCGACTGACCGAGAAAAAGCACGAACAAAAAACGAGCGCTTCCGCAAGCCACCGCAAACCACTGCAAGCCAGCAAAGCCAAACAGCTAAGCCACTCAGCAAAAGCCAGCAAAGCAAATAACGAACCGGAGCAAGCACAACGACCACGCATGCAAAGAAACCCAAACTGTTCACTGCAAAACCGAGCATCACTATGAACGTGACCGTGCCCAGAATGGCCATGATGGTGAGCAACTGCTTCATCACCTAGGCCGCATGTCTGGCCTCCAAGCCTTGCGGCTTCTCACTTGCCCCAGGGCACATCGATGTCCTCATTCAGACCGCCTTAGAGCAACGCGGGCGCGGCATCCAAAGCGAGCAGCACCACGAAGGCACTGGGGAAAAAAAGGCTGGGCAAGGCTGGAAAGCGGAGAGGGTCAATGAAGCTGCGAGAGGTGCCGGCCTTCCTAAATCCTGAAGCGGCATCGCCGAGCCGATGGCAGCTATGCAGCAGGGACATGTGCGCAAAACGTGCAGAAATCATGGCGCCGCATCTTGTGCGAAACGTCAGCACCATGCCAGGTAGAGAACTTTTCCTTTACTAACAAAGGCCTATTGCGAGGCGCGGTGTCGAGCACGTGAGCCACCAGAGCGACACAGTGCAAAGAGGACATTGCAGCACATAATTGTAAAGGCAGCACAAGTGTGGGTTGAGTTGTGCAATTCAGAAGTGCGTCGGCGTCTTGATACCATAGGCGCATACACAAGGGGACGTAAGATGTGGTGGTTTTGAGTTTGCCAAGCTGCTTTCTCCTCGCCAACTGCCCTCAATGGCGAAGCCCATGTTGTCTAAACCGGCGCCATCCCCAAATAGCAGGCCGCGATAGAGAGACCTGCGCGGATCTCTATCACGAAGGATGCAACTCTGAAATGAATCTTGTGTGCGCTTAACCAAATGGGTGGGTCTTTTTTAGTGGACCCCCCAAATGGTGGTTGTCCTTTTGGCAACCCCCCGAAAAACAAATACCGACCAAAACAGACGGACCCAAAAGGTGGTGGCGCGGAGTCGTCCGAGCTGCCAGCTCACTACCGTGATGGCGCCCTGGCGATCCAGCATGACAGCCGTCACCACGAAGGCGAGGAAGAAGAGAGAAGCAACGAGGAACCTCGTTGAAGCATTGAGCCGTCGCATTGACCATTGGCTTCAAAGGTCAGATCAGGGAATGAGAAATGGAATGAACCGTTTTGGGGATTGCTAAAGGAAACCACCAGTTGGATGGTTTATGGGGGTCATTCCAACTCATTCCCTGCTGAGCACCGGCAAGAAAAGCCATTTTTGTGCCAAGGTCTCAAAAGCAAAAGCCATCTTCGCAACTGTTAAGCCCAGTCGGTACCAAAGCACATCTCTCGCATTGCGCCACTCACAAGCGTCTTCAGCAGAACAAGGATCTTCTTTCCACCGAAAGCACTCACTCGGAGCATGTAAATAAGCTTCACCTTGGCTCCGCGGCAGTCGGGCCCCTTCATGTGTATTCACTCGTCTGCACTTGCAACTCGCAAAATGACTGACAGGGCGAGTCAATCGCATGTTCCTCTGTGCGCTGTGATCCAAGTTGCGCTGTGCGTGAAAAAGCACACTGCCAACAGGGCCTGCTAGGGATTCAAGACTCC